CGTAACTTAATTAAATCCACTACAATAACTAGATTGTCATTTCCTTTTTAGAAAATCGATTTGTTCCTCCAAAACCATATGGACCAGATAACTGAAAACCAAATTACATACCATTCTTCCTTTAAGATTCCATTTTGTAGCATTCCAACGTATTGCTGCAGGTGATCCCAGCCTTCACATGCAAGAATGGGGGTGGGCACCGGTTCGGTTTGGTTCAATTGGAACCAAACCTAAATTGATAGTTTTAATTGGTTGATTATTTTGTAAAATAATAACTAAAAATTGAACCAAATAATATTCAATTTTTTGGTTCGATCACCAAATTAATCAGTTCGGTTGACATCAATCTTGGTTTTGACCAATTCTAACCTTAGGCCCTTAGCTATTTTTTTGGATTTGGGCCTTCCATTTTGTGGCTCAAATATCCAACAAATGCTTTGTAATCCATTTACTTTAATTTTATGATCCAAATATTTTGGACCAAATATCCAAAAATTTTAAGATGGAAGTGTTTGAATTTTTGAGATTTCTTTTGTGAATTTATCTTGATTGACATAATATATAAGGATCATCTGAGAAGGAAGAATTTAAGGTTAAGAAAAAAACATGTGCTTAATATGTTAAAAAATTAAGATTCTTTTTAATATATTATTTATAATACTTATACTTATAATTCTCTTTTATGATCCAAAGCCCGTTTAGCTCTATAAAAAATCATCTATTAATTAATGGATGATTTCAACAAAATGCTGGTATAGTTAACTCAATTTCTGCAAAATTGAACAATAGGTTTAACCAAAAAAATTCAATTAAAAAAATCCAAAAACTCAACTAAGGAAACCCACCATGAGACAGCAATATTAAACGATTACATACAAAGAAACTATACCCAAAAATTAATTGCTCCAATCTACTCCATTTTAGGAAATTTAAACAAAAGTCATACGCTATATGAGAGCTACTGCACCATCTTTGTAGATGGCACAACCTCAACACCAAAAAAAAAAAAAAAAAAAAAAATCCAAAAAAATCAAATAAATTGCAATTCCAAACATAGAAAACCACACCCAGAGCAAACACATAAACAATAGATTGTGATTAGGTGAATATACAAATTCTGGGCAATTTTTTTAATTAAGTTATAATTTACTTTAATTTAAAAATATCAAACAAAAAATTATAGAATATTGTGGGTTTTGAGATCATCATGAGCCCTATTGTTCTAGGCAAGAACAGTGCAAATTTAGTCTCTTTACAAGTTATCTTATCTTCTTCACCTAGCAATCTTATCTTTTTCTCACTGTTCTCTCCCCAATCCTCCTCTCCTTTGCAGAACCAAAGCCTAAAAATTTAACTGAAGAAACCTACAGTTTTTCGGCAACCAGTGGTGGTGGCGCCTAAAGAAAAGAAAAATATAAAACAAAACTTAGTACACATATATATAAAAAGGAGAGGATATGTGACCTTAAAACATGCGACGGTCACCGGTGATTGAGGCCGCACGCGGTGGTCATGAAGGAGAGATATGGAGAGAGAAAGAGACAAGAGATCTTAGTAGGGCTTTGATTTCAGATCTGTAAAGATATGAAAGTAGATTGGGTTTAGAGATGGATTAGATCTTGGCTGACTGTTAAAGGGAGAAAATGAGGAAGGAAGTGAGAAAAAAGAAAGTGAAAGTAAAGTGAGAAGGAAATATGAGGGATTAAAGATGAGTATTCCATTTGAAAATTAGAGGGAATGGTTGAAAATTTCTAAATTAAGGTGGGGGGAAAGGTTTTGGTGGAGAGTCGGAATGCGAAGGAGGCGGATAGATGCAAATTTGTAGAGGAGGCTGGGAGGGAATGAATGAAATTACTCAAATTATGGTTTGTCTTTTAGAATACATATATTTTATGTTTCCTTGAAAAATATTACGGGTTTTCGAGTTTATTATTCGGTTGTTCGGTTCTTGGGTTTGGAACTGAACACCGCACTGTTTGTAAGTGGTTGAGGCTCGAAACCACTACTTGGGCCCGAAGCCCGTTTGTGCCCGCACCGGAAGTCCAATTTTGGTGCGGTTGTCGGGCAACCAATCAGTTGCCCACGTGCATGCCCAGCCCTATGCAAGAACAGCTTGCAGGCCCCACCACGCGTAAGAAGCTTGCCAAAGTGCCCAAGTTGCCTCACAAGTGGAGTAAATGGGCAACTGATTCAGTATGCTTTCCACAAAAGAAGCATAAAAAATCAGCCTCTATTCCAACTATTCCTCTTTTTAACAAATTATCACCGGTAGGCATTTTATTTTGTAAAGTTTTTCATACAAATGTTGAAACTTTAAGTGGCACCTTTTTGTTCTATAACATGTTGAATTGTTTTGGAGTTGGCTCTATATTGTTGCTGTTCACTATTGTGTATGTAGATTTTACGGAATAGGTTCCTTTCGGGTCGTGCCTCCACCTCCAGGAATCTTGCTTTCCTTACATCAGCTTACTCCCTTGCAGCAGCCCTTTTAGATCCTACAAAAAGGCATATTCACGTCCTAGCAACTCCCTACACCAACAGGAAAAACAAAATCAAAATAAAATTCATTCATGTTAATTAAGCTTCATTTATGGCTCAAGAAATTATTTATATTATACAAGATAATAAAACTCCCATTGACTCATTGATCTTCCAGGACGTTCACTTCCAACAACCCTAACGTTAAAGTATACATTTTAAAGGAACGAGGCACCATAAATTTGCAAATATCATAGGCCATGGCTTCAGTTAGATGACTTTGATATTGTTTCTGATAATAGACAAATGTAGAAACTTCTGAGTGAAAAGCATTTTAGTTAGTTTGGACACATGGTAGTACCATTCATTAGTTGCTTCTAGCAGGATAAAGCTAAAACGTCGCCTTTATCCAAACAATTTGAATACATCAGGTAAAGATTAATAATTAGTTATTGGCTAAATCCTCTATTTATATCTTGTATATTATTTTTTATAATTAATATATTTCATAATTTTCACTCTTAATTAACACTTTTTATAATTCAAAATGTATAAAAAAAACTCAAAAATTAACTATCAAAACTTTTATTTATATCTTAATTTTGTTAACAATTTAGGATATTTTATAAATTTTAAATTATAAAAAATATTGACCAAAAATAAAAATTATAAAAGGTGTTAACTCTAAGAAAAAATAATTTACAAATACAAATAAAAGTGGAAAGAGAGAAACACACTCTTTGCCCTCTTAAAGTCCTTCCCATCTCCAAGCCTTTCTTGATCAGCACGTCACATGGCATCCTTAACCAAAAGGGATAAACAATAATTGAAATTTAACAGAAAAGAAAATGATGCATCATGCGCAGTTATAGCACTTACCTTAACAATTTCAACAATAACAATGATCACACCCCTTATACCTGTATTTTTTTTTTTTTTTTTTGAATAGCCCCTGTTTGTATGTGTGTATGTGTTTTGAAATTTGTTAAGTTTCTTAACCGCGGGAACAGATTCGTTTCAACCTTTATTCATGAAAAAAAGGAGATTCGTTTCAATCTTTAGCTATATATTTCTTTCCTTTCAATTTAACATTTTGAACAGTAAAATTTTTAACTATGAATGAAGATACTTCTCTAATATTAAGAAATTTATCTTAATTCAATAATTAATTAATATCTTCATTAAAAAATAATTAATTAATATTTTATAATTTTATATAATTTATTCAGTAAAATCTTATTTAGAATTAGAAATTAATAACTTTTTTTACGAGTGAAATTAATGCATTAGTAAAAAGAAAAATTGATTGATCTATACTTTATTGATCAAATTCAAAATTTTTTTTTAAAAAAATCAGTAAAAATTGTAGTTTATTTATCATGAATCTCTCCGTGTCTATCGAATTCAATTTGCTAGGGATTGCGATTGCAAGGCTAAAGGGGTAGCAGAAGAAGGAAAAAGTGTCTCGAATCAATTTTAGTAATTTGTTACTGAAGTGAACTTCTCACAATTTTCCCATTCAGATTAAGTGGATGCAGTAAAATAAATAAAAGGAAAAAGACAAGTTACCTGGACACTTCCGTTGGACTAGTTTTTGTCTGAAAATGAAATCCTAGGTTTGGGTTGGAACTTATGTTTACATGTAATAATCACTTAGACTTGGGGCCAACATAACATGTGATAATCAGTTAGACTGGGTACCAACATAGCTTAAAAGAGTAAAATGAAAAAGCTAAACCTAGTTGGCGCCTGGTAGGTCCTAAACCATGGAAATTGGACAACTACATCAAACAACTGTTTCTGAAAATTGAATTGTCCGACCTTAACAAAATGTATTAATATTGTACTACCACTACTTTTTTTTTTTCTTGTTTCTTTTACCTGTAACCTCCGCTTTTTTAATTTTTTGAAAAACTTTTTTGCAACATAAATTATATTAAATTATTAAATTTAAATTATTAAATAAACACAATTTTTCTTATATTAGGAGGTTTTTTTTTTTAATAATTTATATTTTACAATCTAATATAATATTGTAAAACAACATACTCTTAATTTTTTACTGCTGTTTATACAGAGAATGCAACGTGTGTGTTGCTGAGCTTGCTAAGTCCTGTTGTGATTATTTTTTCCCTTCAATTAGACTTCCTTAATGTATTTCTCTTTGGTTTAATTAATTTGATCTATCCATTTACCTAAAGAAAATATAAAGGTTCTTTCTTTTTATATATAAGTATAAAATGTCCTTTTTTAAAAAAATAAATAAACATGACTCATGGGTTTGACTTGTTAATTCAGTTCTTTGGACATGCTGTAATCTCATCCAATTTTAGCCTTGATTGGATAATTGTCCGAAGCAAAATTTTGTAATTCAATTGACATAATTTGAATCTTGTATTAGTAACATGTCCAAGGCACTAGTTGGGGTGGCTCGAAACCTTTGTTGGCTAAAGAGTTCCTTTCATCCAAATAAATTAAATACAAGTAACAGTTAATAACAGGGTATTTTAATTAGTTATCAACAAAAGAAGTTTTTTTAAGTAAATTTTTTCCTTAGGATTTAGATCTCAATATTAATAAAGGTTACCATTGGTTCAGCATCAAAGATAGTGCTTTTTTTTTTTTTTTTGAACAGAGAAAAATTGGAAGAAGAGAGATAGATAGACTGTTATTGCAGCGATTATAACTCCAACAGTTGTCAAAAGTATGGTGCACTGAGACCAATGCAGTCAAAGCTGCGGTGCATCAAAGATAGTGTTACTTTTTTTTTTCTTTTTTTGGTAGAAAAAGATAGTGCTACTTAATAATTGAAGGAGTTTGTGGAATCCTCTATTTTCAGATTTTCTTTTTGACAAAGTCACTTAACTTTAACTTTATCGTATTGTTCTAATAAAGAGTCACCTAGTGTTGTTCAGTTTCAATGTTACTTTTCAGTAACATGTAACAACAATATATTTGGGGGACGCATCAGATTCATGGCAACGAATAAAGATGTAGATTCCAATTTCAATCAGCTAAGAAGATTGTGAAGCACGCATTAAGATTTCTTCTTGCGGCTGCAAGTTAGGGTAACATTTTTACGTCCTACACTGTAGAGCGACTTTTTTGAAACAACACTCTGGAGTGACTTTAGTTTGGCCCATGATGTATTTTTTATTTAAGGATTTTCACATATAAGACCACATATACAAAACATAAATACAGTTCCATCGCCTATTTTCAAAAAAAAAAAAAAACCCAATTTTTAATATTCTTTTTTATTTCACAATCAAGTTCAGAGAAAAATTTGATAGCTGAGTGATTTTAACAAATATAAGAGTGGTAATGACCATATTTGCATTTTTGCCTATAACTTTTAGGGCATTCAGGCATGTAAAAATCTCATCAGCCAGATTATTTCAAGAAAACCAGAAAAGAAAAACACTAAGAAGTCTATTGCAGAGAAAAGGGAGAATCAAAAGATGGGGAGGGGAAATTCGAAGGAGCAAGTGAAGAAGGTAAAAACCTCTGTGTTCTCTATCATTTTCTTCTTTTAAAGATCAAATACCTCCCTGTTCTCTATCTTTCTTTCTTATTTTCAGGACCATATCTGTCCAACATGCCCCACCCCTTGGGGTACATTACAACTCATGATCGATTGTTGTGAAAAAAAGCGTAAGAAAAACAGCGGTAAGAAGGGCGGCATAGCTTGGAATTCAAGAGCCAAGGGATCTAGTTCAAACTCGAAGCAGGAATAATTGGAGCAAAACGGATCTGAGCAACAATCCAAGGGGCAAGAGAAAAGGAAAGGGACTGCAAAGTGAGATATCCACTATTATCTATATCCATCATCTATAACATTTGATTCAGGTTTCCAATTTCTTCTTCTGAGACGGTATTTTATATTAGTTTTTTTAAAAGTAACCTCTTTGTTCTCTATCATTCTTCTTTTAAAGTTGAAATACCTTTGTTCTGGTTCCTCTGACCATCTTGATTCTCTTGTTCCTCTGCCCATCTTGGAATTCAAAAGCTGCTGAATTTGGGTCAAAATCAAGGTTGAAGCAGGAAGAATTAATCAAGATGAGGGATCCAAGTAGCAACCGTAGGGGAAAAGGAGTGCAAAGTGAGGAATTAGTGCATGAATATCCTAAGTAAATAATCTTGAGAGGTTACTTTTAGTTATGGAGTCAAGAGTCTTTATTTTCTTTTAGTTAAAGTCAAGTAGTCAAATGTCTAAATGTTTTCGCTACAATTGAGTCTATCCATTTGGTTTCTAAAATTAATATTTTCAATACAAAGGAACTTCTATGCATTTGACTCTCTTATCCCTTTGATTATGATTATTCATAGGCCTTTGCCCATCTTGATTCTCTAGTTGCTTTGCCCATCTTGGAATTCAGAAGTTGCCAAATTTGGGTCAAAATCAAGCCCGTACTAGTTATTTTCGTTTCCCACAAAACCCAACTCATATGGTAATTGAAATGTTTTACATGTCTGGGCTCCATTATGGCCATTTCTCATCAAAGCCCATACTAAACAAACCCAAAATCTAATCATGAAGAAAAAATGATTTTAATTCTTTTTAATAGGCTAAAATTTTTATGGTCTAATCACCACATATATGTTTCAATCCAAACTTTTCAGTATTAAAAATATTGTGGGCAAAATTCTCTCTCTACGTCCTCTTATCTAAACTTCCGTGTTTGGGATGCCAAATATGCAAATCTTCCTACTTGAAGCATAAAGCGGGTTAAGAAGGATAATTCCTCAGGGCGCGTTACTAAAACATCAATGGCTGATGCTTTAGTACTCCTAGCTCTTGAAAGTTCACTTGGAAATGCTGAATCGCAAGATGCAACAATGGCAAAGGTCTCAATGGATGGAAACATTCCGCAAATTCTTGATCCTACTAGAGTATTTACTTTTACAAGCCCTTTCTCATATAGGGACAGAAAGCTACTTGAGGAAAAGTCAATAGGGATATCCTTTTCGTTGTTTCGAGCTACCTCATTGAGGACTTTGATGCTAATGCTAACTTGGAAAGTGATATCTCCATTATTCTCCTTTCTAAGGTGGAAAAATGTTGAATTAGAAAACCATGGGTTAATGTGTTATTTATTAAAGCATTTGCATCTAAACTTGTTGGTTATAATTTCATGTTTCCTTAAGTTAAAGCCCAGTGAAAACCTATAGGCAAGTGGGATTTTATTGACCTTGATAATGATTTTTTCATTGTTTGTTTGATTTCAGGACTTAGAAGACCTCAACAAGGTTATCTTAGGTGGACCTTGGTTCGTTGGCCCCTATTATCTCACTATCCGACATTAAGAGCCAAATTTTAGATCAAATGAGAGTACCTTCACTACAATTACGGTTTGGGCAAGACTCCCAAGCTTATCTGCTAATTATCATGATCTTATTACTCTGTAAAAATTTGGAAATAAGGTTGTACATCTTCCCAGAGTTTATGCCCATACAACTCATTGTACAAGAAGTTAGTATGATCAGGTTTGTGTTCAGGTGGACTTGGGCAAAAGCTAAAACACACTGTTAGAATTGGAAGATTCCATCGAAAAGTTGTCTATGAAGGCATTGAAGCCCATTGTTTTAACTATAGAACATTGGCCAAAAAAGGTCTCAATGTACGGCACATCCCTCTCAATCAAATTTGTTAGTGTCTAGAGTTTCTTAGGGATCCATACCTAACTCATTTAATAGGAGAAGTTTGTCCCTATCTTCTCTTTTGAATATGGAAGTTATGGATAATAATTCCTTGGTCCCTAATCTTCAAATTGAACTTTGGGATCAAGTGGGCTCTAAGCATTATGGTCCATGAATGTTAGTGGAGAGACTATTGGGAACAAATTAAAATCAGCTTTAGCTACCAATACTAATTCTAAGGAGAAGAAGGAAATAGGGGATTCGATCGAAAAGTCATCAAAAGCGAGGTCCAGTCCATCAAGTTCAAAGGCTGGACAATCAAGAAGATGTCAGTAGCATTAAATGCTAAAACAGGCTTTCCAACGATTACTAAACTAGCTCCCAATTCTATTCTTGGGTTTTCCCAAACTGACAATAGTGCAAATACCTTGGGGCCCCCATTTCTCCTAACAAGCTTAAGAAAGACCAATGCCAATTCATTGTTGATAAGGTTAGGAGAAAACTCTCACCTTGGAAAACTAGATTTTTGTCATTTGTTGGGAGAGTCACTCTTACTAAGTCTGTCTTGGAACTTATTTCACATTATTACATGCAAGCAACCCTGCTTCCTTCAGCTGTTCATCATGAAATTGACCAAATTTCTTGTAATTTTATTTGGGGTTCTGATGAAACTATGAGAAAAATTCATTTGGTGAATTGGGAGGCTGTGTGCCAGCCTAAAAGTATGGGAGGTCTTGGTCTTAAATCTGCCCATCATGCCAACACTGCTTCTATATACAAGTTAAATTGACACTTTCATCTTCAGAAAGACAAACTTTGCTCTTAGGTTTTTTGCAATAGTTATTCTATATTTGACCCTAGAGACTCGTTCTCTACCTCTAGATCACCAACTTATATATCCTTGAGGGCTGGATGTGATATATTTCATAAAGGCATCCGTTGGATACCTAGTAATAGTAATTCTATCTCCTTATAGGCAGACTGTTGGTTTGGGGGCAAGGCTTTTAAATCTATTGTTTTCGACCCTATCCCCTAAGTATAAATCTATCGCCACAATAGATGTAGCTCGATATAAATCCTACAATTTAATTATCTATGTTTTACCTTCTAATATGATCAACCTCCTCAAAGCTATTCCTATTTCCTTTTATGACTCCAGACAAGATTTTATAGCTTGGAAAGAGAGCTAAGATGGGAGATTTTTAACATCTTTTGCTTACTATATAGCTAAAAATCTTCTTAACAATACTGGTACGAGTTGGTCATGAATTTGGAAGGTTATTGCTCTTCCAAAGATCCAATATTTCTATTGGCTTCTTACTCATGGTAGGCTAAAAACCTTTAATTTTTTGTACAAGTTAGGGATTGTGTCCTTTCCTGTTTGCCTTTGATGTAACGAACAAGTAGAATCTATGGATCACATCTTTAGGACTTGTCCTATTTCTATTGATTTTTGGAATTCCTTGAACCCTGTTGATCCTATCAATAACCACATGACTTTCCTGGACTAGTTAAAAGCCAATACCACTTGCACTAATCCCTCGATTTTTAAGATTCTTTAGGGCTGTGTTTTCTACTTCGCTATGTGGGGGTTATGGATTTGCAAGTATAACATTGTCCATTACTCCTCTAATTCTTCACTTCCACATCTCCCATCTTCCACTATTGACCATACTGTTAAGTTTTAGTCCTCAAAGCCTAGGGTACAAAGCGATTCTGTGAGGCAGCATGGCTTATTTAACTGTTATCGCCCTTCAACTTCCTTTATTAAACTCAAAACTGACGAATCCTCCATGGGATGTCCTGGCCAATCTAGTGTAGAGGGCAAAGTAGTCAATATTGTACTGGCATGCGTACCGGTTTTGTTACTGGAACGGTACATACCGGATATCGAAATTTTTCGCGTACCATTTCGGATTTATCGCTATAAATATATATTTTTATAAATTAAATATCAAATTTTAAAATAAAATAAGAGATACTAATATTTAAACTATTATATTCTTATAAATTAAAAATAAGTTTAAAATAATAATTTTTAATCCCTTAACTTTTAATATATAGATATTTTTTATCCATTCATTTTAAATTAAGGGATTAAAAATGTGTGTATTTAGAAAAACTTAACGGACTAATTAATAAAAGGACTAAAAAAAATATGAAAAATGGACTAAAAAAGTATATAAAAAAACTAAATGATGAAAATTATATAAAATATTAAAGTTGAGGATTAAAAATGAAATTTTCCCTTTTTAAATTTGAATTGATTTGAATTGTAGTGGGCAACTGTACCAAAAAATGGAGGATTGACAAGTCAAGACAGCTGGACGCGAGAACAAAGGAGGACTTGCGCGATCGAAATTGCAAGGTTGGCCAAAACGACGTTGTTTTGGCTAAGAAATCTTTTTTGTTTTTTAAATTCTTGCAAATTGTACCGGTTAAATTTCGATATATCGACCGGTATACCGAAATTTCGGTCAGTACACTAAAATTTGACCGAAATCATCGAATTTTGACTGAAACGAAATTCATTCTTATTCCGTTTCAGTTTACTCTAAAAATCGGTACGTACCAGTCATACCGGCCGGTGTGATATGGTATTTACTTCTTTGGTAGAGGGTATTTTCAAGGATCGCATGGGTAATTGGGTGTTGGGTTATGCCAGGAATGTTAGGTTTACTAATAGTTTAGTTGTTGAGATGTGGGCTATCAAAGATGGTATGCATATTGCAAACCGGAGGGGATTTAGAAGGTTGCATATTGAATTTGATTCATATGTTGTTGTTTCCCTTTTCAATCATAACTTTTTCCCCTACTCATGTTCTAGCTACTTTGATCTTGGATTGTAGGGCTTTGCTGCAACAATTTGAACATGTGGAGATATCCCACGTCGTGAGGGAAGCAAACATGATTGTAGACCAACTTGCAAAAATGGGATGTAAGTTACCTATTTCTTTTGTTATCTATGAGGATTGTCCATCCTCGGTTGCCTATTTTTATGGCTGATGTATATGGGGTTCTCTTCAATGGATCCCCTTAATGTAGTTCTTCTTTTGCAGTAATAATAATTTCCTTATTTACTAAAAAAACATCAACTCATATATGATTCTACTTTGAGGAAAAAAACCCCTCATCACAGAGTAGTAATGCTAAATATCAATATTTAATAGAATAAATTTTTAAATTTTAAATTGAGTTTTAATTAAATAAAATGATATAATTTAAGGTTAGAACATCAATTTATATACACTTTTCCCAAAAGTTTTTCAGTTTAGTTTAAAGAAATGATTTCAAAATATAAACAAAGATGTTGAAACTAGAATGGTATCAAAGCCAAATCACTTATATATTTATATGTGTGTATAGAAATTTTGAAAAAAAATTTGCCAGAAGATCAAGATTGCATTACTTCTTTATCAAAAGGTCAAATTTGCATTAATGTCTTTGCCCAATAGTCAAGTTTCCTATTCTATTACTATTTGTGACTATTTTATATCTAATTATTGTTACTATTTTGTTTCTTAGTCCAATATTCTCTATCTTTATGAAATTATATGAATCTAGATTAGCTAGATTTATCTATCTTATATGAAGACAAAAAATTGAAAATAACTTCAAATAATCGTAAGTTAGTGTGTAATTTTTTGGGTTTTTTGTTATCATTTGCATTAAGATAATAGTCAATTAAATAGTATAGTAAATTTAATTATAAACACCTTACAAAAATTATAAAAATGAAAAAAAAAAAGTAGCACTTGAATAGTTTCTAAACTTTGAAAAGTATTGCAAGAAAAATATTGTAAAAATAATTGAAAATCAAGATTCTTTGCAACAACAGATTGAATATGTCAAAAACAAAATCAATCTAGTAAATTTGCAACTTTTGAATAAAAGAGAGCCAAATTCTTTTGTTCAAAGTATTCATCATCACACAACTATCTTGATCCAAACTCAAGGAGAGTTGTTAAAACAATTTCAAAAGCTTCAAAGATTAAGTCTTGGTTTGAATGGGTGAAACTTCTTTCACTCAAAATACAAACAATTAAGAAGCTTTAAAGGAAGCAGGAAAATTAGGAAATCCCTATAGATTAATCAATTTCCAACCTATAGTAATCCAAGACCAAGTACTAGTAGAATAGCAAAATACCCAAATTATTTTGCTACTACGAATTCTTGAAAATCAGGAAAAAATCTTAAATAAAAAAAATATATCTTTTGAAAAATACTCACTTAAGAACATTAGAAATATTTTAGGAAACAAAGAAGTGAGAAAATTGATCTGGTAAGAACTCTTAACATTAAAGAGGATCTTAGACAAATAAAATTTAATCTTTTTTCTTTATCCAACATAAAAACCAAAAACCATAAAACCTCTAGTTCAAAAAATTATATTGTATTACCTTAAAATAAAATAAAATAAAAATAGAATCATCCAAGATCATAGGCAACCTTTGATTCTCTAGACCCTTTATCAAACCCTTTATCTTTTGGTGGAGAAACTTGCCTATTTGGTCAAGTGTGCAAGAATGATAAAGAAAGCAAGAATGATGTAGATGATGGAAGAAAGATAAAGTCTGAGAATGGAGATGTTGTCAAGTGTGAACCAGTAACTGAGGAAGGTGTTGTAGCCAGACATTGTAGATGCATTGGAAGATGCCTTATATTAGGTGACAACATGAGCTTTCGATCTGTTAACAAAATGTTTTGGATGGCAGCCCCACCAATCCAATGGAAAGCTGCTACCTTCGAGGGGGTTGAGGACTATGATAATCTAACACCCTGCCTCGCCTCCTTAAAGAAAGGTGATGTTATTTTCCATTTCATTGATCCATTTCGCGGTGAAAAATATTTTATTAGCCTCCCTAACAACCAATCAAAAGATACCAAGATGTGCTACTCAAGGGATGGTTGGTGTGTCATGTTACAAGGAGAACGTCCCATATTCCTCTGGAATCCTTTAGTAGAGGAGACCACTCCGCGTCCTGATTTGCTTCCAGATTTTCTTGTTGGATGGAGATATGTTCTCGGCAGCAGTTTCTCATCCTCAAAAGATTGGGTTGTCTTGATTCGTAATGATTATCGAATTCACTTCATCTTTCTGGTGGAAGGTGAATGGCATAGTTTTCAAATAGATAATGACTTGGGGCCTTGAATGAGTTGGGTTACTGATCCAATATTCTATGATGGGGGTTTCTACTTTTTCTGTATGGAGGAAATCTGGCCGTTGTTAAATGTCATGAAGAGGATTCATTTTTTGAAATTCTCAACCAACTTAAAACACCTTGCTCTTCTGATGAAAGTTTCTTGTTGGAATGTGATGGTGTGCTTTTGTCAGTGCTACGGGTTTCTTGGGAGAGTGGGTTAGAGTTTTCAAGCTGGACTTTTCTGAGATGGCTTGGGTTGAAATTGAATGGAAAAAACACCATTTTTGTTAGCCGCTTTTTATGTTTCTCGATGACAGCATCAAGTCCGGGAATGAAGAACAGAGTTTATTTTCCAAGGTTATACAACAAGGACGAGAATGTTGTCTACTATTCTTTAATCACACAAAAGTTGCACTCTCATGGTACTGGGGAAGTTCTAGAGAACTTTTACAACAGAAAGGAACAATTATCTTCTACTTGGATTGAACCCAAGTGGCTTTAGATTGCCATCGTCTTACTATTATGCAATGACTTAATTAATAATGTTTATTTGTTTCCAAGAGAAAGCCAACTTTATAGTGTAGCTTATTATATTCGGCACATTTTCTCTGATAATATAATTAATTACATATATAAAACACTAAATCTAAGGGTTGTACATTTTTGCATGATTGTATTTCCTTTCTTGATTTAATTGAAGTTCATAGATATTGATCTAAGTTTTCAACGTCTCCTTTTGTCGCAATGTCATTTCTTCTTCCCCTTGTCTATACAACATGGTCCATGACCTTTACTTCTTGACAAGTGCAAATATGACGTGCATCAGCTACCTGGGGACCTTTCATATGCTGAGTTCATGCAGCATCATCACTGGGACACTTGCGGTGAGCTGGGACAGCCACTTGCATTTGCAAGAGCCAGGTCATTGATGGCAAAGGCAACCATGAAGAGGGAATATACTGCTGCTCAAGCATGGGTTTCAGGCATGACCTTACCCGGAATAAATCTGGACCCCTTGATCTTGAGTCCATATTTTATTAAGTTGCTTCATAATAAGCAATCATAATTTTTCTTAATATGAGGCAACAATTCCCCAATCTTATCTGGTGAAGAACAGCTTGGAAAATTAGTTGACTTCAATTAAAAAAATAAAAAGATGATCAAATATCTAATTTATTAGTACTATTTCTCATTCGGTATAAATAATTGTAACAAGGAAAAAAAATTCAAGAAAAAAAAAATAGTGATAACAGTTATCAATGGGGTCAATTTCCCAGCACTGAACATTTTTCTTTTCTGAGATCTCTTTTTCTTCTTTATGTTATCCTTTCAGTTATGTACAGAAAGATCAGTAATCAAAGAACAGAGTTCAGAAGTCGATAATAGGCTCTCCTATGGTCAGGTTTCTCTCTATGGTCCAGGGCAAGTTAAAGAGCTTGGCCGTGATGAATTTGAAGATCTTGTTCACATTTATGTTATGTGTTGCACTCGAGAAGAAAAGGGTTGCCTTCATTGCCCTTGCGTATGCTCTTGCCTGAAATCAAGAAGGTTAAAAAGGCTAACTGAGTATATTCTGTGCTGTATGAAGAAAAGTTTCTTTGTCTAAAATAATTATACTTCTACAGCACTAAATGCAACTTTAATCGGCATGTGGTCCCTTAAACTTATCTTCAAACGCGGAAAGACAAAGAATGTAAGTTCTGAGGTGTCGCAAATGTCAAACTATCTAGAAATTGACATAGGACGACCCTGAGTTACTCCTGGAGGAACATTGTTAATTTCCACACGCTAAGGTCGCTGTTAAGGAAAATTTTAAATGCCTTAACCCACCGTATCAGACACATTAATTCCATTTTTTGGGCAGCAATTTGGTGTCATTTTCTTGCTTCTAATGACAAAAAGAGACAGCAAGAATTCTGCTTGCTTCCAGAAGGACCAAAAGAGCCGGTAATGTTCTTGCATATCTAACTAAATGATGCATAAGTAGTAGAGTACCAAAGACAGAAAATTTCATACCTGAGTAACAATAGTCCACTGCAAATCCGGGGGTAATCTAACAAAATCATCGAATTTGGTCCCTATTAGAATTGGAATTGCCGTCTGCAAATGCAAGGAAAAGGGAACAAGAAATGAAGATATAAATAAGTGCATCCTTGTTAAAGATGATAGAAACTGACATAAATAACAGACAAGCATATCAAACTCAAACAGTATCCTATCACTGGATTTTAAGGCCTCTAGCCCTCAAAAAAGTGTGTTGTTGATGACATTTATTTATATAAACCATCCATTAATTAATTCCAGCACTTATTTCCAGGACCAGGTATTGAATTTGACATTGATTTAATAATTAATTGATTATTAAGACTAATAAGACCATTTCCTACTTTAATTTCTGCAGGTTTGACTCCATCAGCAGATTTTAATTGATATCAAGGAGCCTAGTTATGCAAAAGAGAAACCATTTTTGATACCTGATTCCACCTTCTTGCTTGAGTATACCACCCAACAACACTGCACAAATCCCACAAAATTTCAAGAATCAGAGAAATTTATAAGTTGCACAACTTTTCCATTCAAGTAAAATCAAATGTCTAAGTTTAATTAGCAACCTATTGAGGGTGCATCGGCTAGTAAGATCAAACATAAACAAAATTGCCACTGCATCTTTACAAGCAATAGGAATATGATCAACCGAGCTGCTGTCGCCTGAAAACAACAAAATCAGAAGAATAAATGGAAATTCAAGTTCAAATTTCGGGGAGAAACAAATCTAAAACCTGCAACTGACTATAAATTACCTCCTACATCCCATATGCTGAAGGAAATTCGAGCACCTTGAACGAGTGATGTTTTGTTGACTAAATTTAATCCTGTCATCTGTAAGCCTTTTTCTTGCTCATCCCCAACATACTTAATCTTCAAAACTCAAATTCAAGCAAACCAAAATTAATAGGAAAAACACACAGAAGAGAGAAGAAGAGCAAGAAAAGTAGAAAAAGCAAGTCTTGCTCACCACAAAGCTTGTTTTCCCAATTTGACAGTCCCCCAATAAACTAATTTTCAAAGTGACCAAATCGGAATCTGTATCATACCCACTACATGTCGCGGTGAGTTCCTCAGGTAGGTAACCGGCCTCCTCCGCTTCCATCGCCGGAGAAGAACTAGGGTGGCGGGTCAACTTCCTGTAGTGAACAGGCTTTCCCACGGAGCAAACGAGGATTTTATCCCAAATGAAACGGAAAAACCTTCGAAAAATCGACACCCTTTCGAGTAAACTCCGCCTGATGTTGCCCTGAACTATTTTCCGGCAGATTTGCGTCATCTTTCCGGTGGCTTCATCGATGACTTTGGCCATGAAAATGGATGATTGTTCTGATGGCTTTTTGGTACAGAGTATTTTAATATAACTAACCTAAGCGACCGGTATTTTTTCATAGTACCAGAAAAGTCCACGTAGCCAGCTTCTTGGTAGCTTCGCTACATGGGTATTTGGGTCAATTCCTGAACCAAAAGTCTGTGGGCGAAGGGGTATTTCTGTCATTTCATTTTTATGGGTATTTTTTATTAGAAAGAATTTTTATGGGATTAAACATGTTTCATTGGGATAAAGTATTGAGAATGAGAATCTGCCAATGTGGTTTAGATTTTGATAACCAAGAATAAAGGTGGGATAGCTTAGAGTATGCACTCAATGTACTGAAAAATGGTGTGAAACTCTTCTTCACCATTGATATGTAAATATGATACATGATATTTCTTTGATTTTGAAAAAGAATTGTTTTAATGTGTGCTTTTTAAAGATGTATATATTACTTTTATTTTTTATTAATTTATATTAAAAAATTAAATTTTTATTTTTATTTTTAACACTAATAATATTTATATGATTTTAATTGATAATTAGTAAAATTAAAATTAATTTTTATTTTTATTTTTAACACTAATAATATTTATATGATTTTAATTGATAATTAGTAAAATTAAAATTAATTTTATTTTTTTATCACAATTAATGAAAAAGAATACAATTAATTTACCTTGAATCATAGGAAAATTGTTGTCACCCTAGTCGATGGGAGTGATCAGAATGGCACCATCGAACAACAATTAGAAAATTGATTCACTTTGATTGGTGGATCTAGATCAAGTGATCCAATGCCCTTTTGGAAATTGGAATAGAGCAAAAGCTGCCATCACCCAACTCCAATGACACATAAATCCCTCCTTTTCTCTTCTTTTCCATGATTTTTTTCATGAACATTAAACGACACTTTTTCCTTTTTCATTTCAAAAAAGAAGAAAAATTCGTTTGGGTTGTTGGCATTAAATCTTCATCTTTAATCCACCTATACATATATATATATATACATAATTTTTCTCACATTTAGATGTAGTTATTGGATGTACCCACCACTCCATGAAATGTAGGAGTATTGTCCTTTCTTTTTCATTTTTGGTTAGTCCTTCAGCTAAGCGCAAGAATCATGCATTTGAAGAAGTGGGTTTGGTTCAAAACTATAATGATCACGAAGTTAACTAATTTAGTATTTTAGTCTGCCTAATGTTCTTTCATGTATTTATTTATATAGTTAACATGAAAAGGCATTTTACAAGATAAATTGTAAAAATATTTTAATAAATTAGATAAACTGCATTAGTAATATACAATTTAAGTTCTTAAACATAAAATCCACAATTAAAAAGTACAAGAGAGGTTGCTAATTAATATAACCGCCATTGGGTATTTAACTTAAGTGTGCATGGTTCTTGTTGTCTTCAAGAAGACTAATTTTATATTCATTAGGTGTAATAACCTTGTAAAAGATGTTTTGATACTTTGAGAAGACACTATAAAATTAAAGGTTTCATGTCTAATTTTAAGAACCAACAAAACCTCCAAAAGAGTTTGAAATAAATTAAGAAAGGCTTTTCTCAACCCACAATGCAATTAGATGTAATAAACCAAAAAAAAAAAAAAAATGATCCGATTTGTTCAGTTGAGGGCTTAAGATGGACAACCATCACCAAAGTCTAAACCCCTCACCCAATTTCATAAACTAATTTATCTGTTAACTGCATGGCGCACTCAGTTTGGTAGGACTTAGAAAAGGCCACCACCAAACGTCAAATAAAAAAAAACCCAATAAAGAATGAACATATCTTAATCCTAATTATGTAGTAGATACTATCCTAACTACTTAATTAAAGTTTTGATTAAGATAATCTGTTAGAACACCTCAGCCAGGTAAGGTTAGGTGTGGGTTTTCCTTCTTTTTGATTGTAACATTGTCCAATTTCTGTGCCAAACTATGTTTGGAAGACACGCGTTAATTACCCTACGAAAGGAATTCAAAAGGCTTCATGAATTCAATGACGGGAGCACAAGACTAAGACATGAGTGGGTCCCTTCAAGGAAAGGGTCTGTTTGCTAAATTTCAAAACCAACTTGCACAAGCAATGTATAAAACTTATAATCTCTTTTTCTCAAGGACAAACTCTAGGCTTAGGGTATGTTAGGGAAGAAAGAAACATCATTTCACCTAATTGCATCAATTGAATGGGAAGTCCTTATACATTCAATTGTTAATCTCGTTTTTTTTTTTATGAATAATCTTTAGATTTTTTATGATTGATCAAAGTTTATTCACTTGATAATGTCCATGATTCTTGATGTGATTAAATATTTGTTATTAACATCATATTATGAATCATTTGTGGTAATTGTATAAATATTTATACATCTTTTTTGTTAAATGGTCTGAAGTATTTGCATGAACAAAATCAATGTGCATTTTGTTTGATTGTTTTGTACTTTTGTTTGTGTGGATTTATTTTCTTTTCTTGGCAGGCAAAAGATAGACAAGTGGATGATGTGCTTGCCCATGATAGTTACTATTGTCACATTGTTCCTAGTCCTTTGCAAATGACCCAAGTCAAGGGTAAATGAGGATAAGGTTTTCTCTAGAAGCTGGGGATCATGTCCTAAGGTAGAGATGAAACGATAAGACAATAAGAAGAAGAAAAGAGAAACCAGGTTATTGTTCAAAGAATTGTTCAAGGGGTGGTTAGGGTTGACAGTGACTCACAAGACCATTCTTACCCTTCAAATAAAGGGGTAGTTTTCTACCAATTGAAACATTGGAGGGCCCTAACTCAAGATCATGATAAGATTAGTTTTAACATGAAACTCACCATTTCGACCTGCATTATTGACAGAATGACAATAACTACGATCAATCATGCTGATTTGGAACTTTGGAGGTTATCAATGAGGTTTTAAGTTTAGAGGCTGATTTAACACAAACCATAAAGCTCAAGGGCTTATTTGTCAAGTCTTCAAACGCAAATGCCATATGTATAAAATCTCGCTTTAGGGATGATTTATAACAAGCTATGACCAATTACAAATATGTAATTACATATCACGAGAGAGAGATGTACTAATACATTTCCATCAACATATGTTGAAATACAAAAGAAAGTGGAGGTTGACTGAGCTTTTAAGATCCTACTTGAAATAAAGCTCAACAAGCTTCTTCAAGGTGTCAAATACACTGGTAAAGGGGTTAAATGCAACAGGGGCCTTGAGTTCTAGATCAGGGAACTGGTTTGTGAGCGCCTGCTGCATTCCAGACATGGACATCATTGCAGCTAGCTGACTGTTAGACATCACTTGGCAGTCTTGTGGGGTTTCCTTGATCTTGCTTGGGTCATATCCGAAATTAGCCAAGTAAGCTTTGTACTTCTCTATGAATTGAGGTCCTGGGTCAGGTGTCCTTGAATATATCTAAAATGTGGGTGCCATTATCAAAGATAAGGACTAAAGAACTTGAGGAAGAAACATTCAAGATATGAATATGATGTATATATTTCGCAATTACCTGGATAAAACTCTTGTCTTTTGCTCCAGAAACAAGAGAAAAATTATCATAATCAGTAGCGATCACGTCATAAGGCTCCTTTGGAATAAAAGGCAATGTAGGGAATCGGAGGTAACACTTCTCTTTAATCATCTCTTGCATTTCTAGATCTGTTTCATTCTTCTCTTTCTCTTCCTCAGAAAGGCATTGAACCTTTCCCCTTATACCAGTAATATACCCATCAGGGCCCCCATGAACACAAAATGTATCAACTTGGATAGAAGGTATACTCATATCAAATGTATACACTCCCTGCAAATTGACTAAAGCGTATTAGCATTTAGCAATCCAAGGTTGAAACCATATAGCTTTGAGTAGAAGAATTGTCTGTTAACAAAGATGAGAAATGACTGATATTAAAGATTTCAGTCTTCTCACCAGACTACTATATTGCATTATTTGACAACATATTACGAATGTCAGATACTGGGCACATGGAATCACTATAGGCAAAAAGGTCAGTGGACAAGAAAGCACCCTACACTGAAAGATTTCTATCAAGCTTCTCAATCAAAAACCAAATACATATACATTAAGTTAGAAAAGTTTTAATGCTTTGAGCCAACTCTACAACGTTATACAAAGCTGAACAAATTAATTTTAAGTCCTTTACTCATGTAAAGCAGTTTCTGAAATGGTGAATATCTTTATTCCCATTCAGTATTATATCTACTCGTACCTGTGTGTGCTGATAAAAAAATAATAAAAATAATAAAAAAAAAAACCTCATGTACCTGTGTGCAGTGGCAGTCTTCTTGACCCTGTCCAGCAAATCCACGTTTGAGTGATGCTACTTCAAACCACCTTCCAGAATATCTAACAGGATCAAAATCCTTTGCTGTCATACCTCTCATCATCATTAGCCTCCCATTTCTTTCACCAGAACCCTCATCAAGTGGAAGAGTTACCTTACTATCCATGACACTAGCAAGCTGGCATGTATTCTGATATCTGGATAAATCTGCTGCAAGAACCTGCTAGGAAGATCGAGGGTTATTTAAATATAGAAATCAAATCAAAACTCTACCTTAGTTATATAATTACTAAAAATTGAGAAAAATCTAAATTACCCCTAAAGTTCTTTCTTTGCTTTATTAGAATGGGCGATGGTACTGACTAGTTGTGGTCTAGAATTGGAAGAAGAGGCAGTTTACCTGATTTGTTTGAGAAAGCAGTACTAATGAAACAGCAAGGCCAGAAAATATATGCCTTGTGACAAGTTTACTTGAGGTTGAGGAAGGGTTCTTCATGGAGCATTTAAAAATCAGTTTCCTTCTCACCCCACTGTAAGACCAAAGAATGAATTGCTAGTTTCAGAAGCAGCAGATATGTCAAAAACGATTCTTACTAGCTCAACAGACAAAACAAGACACAATATATGAATCCCAACTTTCAACAAAAACCTTCATGTCCAAGTAAAGGATGCTTGTGCTGAAACTAATTACAATGGGGGCATCATTCATTGTAGTTGGTCATTTCATCAAGGAATTTCAATTTGAGTATGGAGTAAAGCTGCCTGGAAGTTACTCAAAGATCAAAGCAACCAACTTCTTGCCTACAGCACTTTAGATATCAAAAGCCACAAACGGTCAAAAATCCTTGTCCATTGCATATTGTTACATAGTTATAATCCATTAACTAGCTTTTCTTGCATCATAAATTAATACCCACTTCCTTTACAACCACAGAAATGGTGGCCACCTATCTTAATAGTATAAGCATCCAGAAGACAGCAGAATTCAAACATTCCGGTAAAGATTATATCTTTCTTCATTTTATAATTGGTCTCAGAATTTATTCTAAGAACAGAAAGCCTTAATTCCATCCAATGTTATCTTCTTTCATGATTTCAATCTTGGAAACAAGAATAAAAAAGGCTCAACCAAAACCCAAGACCCATCTAAAGAAAAAATAAAAAAGAATGAATAAATACATGAAAGGATAAATGGAGCAGAAAAACTTTAAACTTGAGAGCATGTTCATGGAAGAACCAAAGGAAAGTGGCATCTGGGTACCTGAGAATTGGAGGAGGAGAAGTAGAAGTGCAAAATTGAAGGGAAAGCAATGGTGATGCTTGATAATGGTGAATAATTGCATTTACCATTTCTCTGTGTTTGTTTTTCAGCACCCAATACCACAATCTCCCAACCCTGCCTCTGCGGGTTTCAGTTCTTTCTAAACTTCTAGTTCCATCTCCCCTCCTCCAGCCGAAAAATATCTGCAGAACGACATCGTTTACTTGTCCCGAGTAGCTACAAATAATAAATGAAGGTAAATTGTGTTAAAATGAATAAAGTAATTTTTTAGAAGGGTCACCGTTCATGAATAACTCTTCATCTTTCAGCTATGTTATCACGTGAGATCAAATATATTTGTGGCAGTTACAATTAGTTTATTTTGTTTAATAGTGTGACAATTTCTTTTGTAGTTTGTAACTTATTTTCATTTCAGTAGTGTTTATTACGTATTTCATCAATTTTTTTCTAAGTAATAGAAGAAATTCAAAGTCATACAAGTCTTGTTCCTTTTTAGCCATTTTTGAAGTTCTTTGGTTTGCTTTTCTTCACTAAGGTTGCTGATCTTGGGTTAGTGTGGCTTTGGTTGCACTAAGATTTGTTTACAAATTGCATTTTAAAAAATAATTTTCGGTCCTTATTTTGCAGTTGAATACTATTTAGATTGCCAAATTTGCAGTTTGATATTATGGCAAAACATCATACTCATTTTATTTTTAATACTAATTTTTGTTGAAGGTTGAGTTTAGTCCTTAACCTTCACCTAGTAGGAATTATTTGAATTGGTTGTTTTAATACAATTAATGGTTGATAATTAATATTCAATTGTTAATAATCATTATTATTTATAACTCAAAATATTTAAACAATTTGATTAAAACTATAACTGAGTTATTCTCCAACATCTAAAACAAACACCGCCAGCTTTTTAGTCCTCAAATCTTCAAAGCCTTTTCCACCTGTCCTTCCATTCCATTCTATTCTGCCATTTATATGGAAATGTGTATGCGCTTGTCCTTCAGTTTACGGAGGAAGTAATGTTTTAGTAGCTTATGGACCAACTAATCGAAAAGATTTCTTAACAAAATCAGCAATAAAAATGGCATAAGTAAACCGCCGATTGATACAAGACTGTAGCATCTAACATTCATAACTAATAATCATTACATAACCAATAGAACAGTGTACAAAAAATACAACATTGGAGGAGGTTCATTCATGATCTCAGTCATGCCTTCTGTGTCGAAAGACTAAGTATTAAGTCTTTGATTTCTTCATTGGCAGCTCTATCAAGTGCAGTACGTCCATCTGCATCCTTGACATTGTAATTAGCTCCAGCTCTCAACAACTCTTCAATTTTTGGCTTGTCGCCTTCAGAAGCTGCTAGCATTAATAAGATATCTACTGGGTGGATATTCTGGCTCAAGAGAGCCTCCATCTTATCATAGGAACCCTCAACCGCAAGCATCCCCATGTAGTTAAAATACTGCAGAAGCAAATAACAGTGTCAGTGGTGTAAATCCATATGCAGCTTGGAAATCTGTTTTGGTTCTATCTAATATCTAGAATGAGACTAATAGCCCAAAAATGTTCAATCGATTAACAATTTCAAAAGTATCTTTGTGCAGCCTATTAGTTCTTCACATATTCAAATTGGTAGAAAACAAGACACTGATACAGGTTGAAAACATCAGATATACAATTCGCCATAGCTACCAGGGACCAGGGCCTTAGTAACACCTAGGCATTGGTTTTTACTGAGATATCATGATTAAAGGAGAAAGTTCTACAGCTTAACAAAGCTAAAGTGCATGATTTCTAGCATTTGGAGAAGATATCACTCCTCCTATGTTTCAACCATTTCTTCCTGACTAAAATCAAGCTTGGTTAAAAGGATTTCAACAAGATAGGGTGCAAGCACTCCACTAAAGTTGCCAGATTCAGTGCTTTAATTGAAAATCATATTCAATTAAAAAAAATTCAAAGCTAAAACACATAAGCATTCTGGCTTTGCACAATCAGAGCTATTCTTCTTTCTTGTTTGCAAAATCAAGAACAACCAAATTTATCAGAAACCCCAAATTTGATATCTCGACTGCAAACTAACTCAGCTAAGGTATGACTTCTATCAAGAAGCTGTAGACTTTATTTTCAATCATATAAAACAGCAGAAATTCCATCAAGGGACCAAAGAATAGGCAGAAGGAACCAAGACTGAGAAACATTCTGAAAAGATCCTAAAAGCATCTCTCTTTTTCCATCAATTCAACAAAAAAATACTGGCTTTCCACAATCAAATCTAATTCTATTTTTGTTTGCAAAAATCAAGAACAACCCTTTAACCAGACGATCAAATTAACTCAGCCTTAAGGTATATTTTCTATCAAAATTGTATGCAGAAGTATTTCCATCTAGATATTGTTAAAAAAAAGAGATTAAAGAAAAGGGAAGAACCTGCTCAACATCATCTCTGTCAAAATCATCCCTTGACTGGCTCCCATAAATGCCAGCACCCTCAGCATCAACACCACTTTTCCCAAACCTGAACCAGCATTTTGCTCTTGATCCGTTGGAGGGTCCGATTCTGGAGGTGCCAACCCGGCGGAGACTGGTTCTGGTTCCCAGGAACTGGGAACTCAACTTTAGGGGAGGAGGAGGTGGAGAATTAGTGGTTTTTGAGGGGAACGCTATGTGGGTAGTGCAAGGGAGTGAGGCCATGGCCATGTCTCGTATCTTGAGTTGCAGAGGTGTTCAAGGCTTCAAGCCGGAAAAGTGGTTTTATCCACACCTACAGTTTTCCAAGTATTAATCGAATGCGCTAGTTTTCCATGTCATCATGCATTAACGAACCTACACCGTAGATGTATTAGACTATTTAGTTTTCAATCAATCAAGGTAGTCATATTTTACACACAAATTGATCTAATAAATATTTCCAAAATGTTTGGCAGCTCGTCCTACACGGACTGCAAAATATCAACGCATGATTATTAAGGGCATGTTTGATGAAATTTTTAAGAGTTTCAGTTTTTTAATATTATTCATATTTCATAAATTTAAATTTTTTTAAAAGAATTTACATTTTTAAATTTTTTTTTAACCTTAAAAAGATATTAAATAGTAAAAACTCAAAACTTTCAAATCTAAATTTTTCATAAATTCTTTTTTTATTTATTTTTCGCTCATTTTTTCTTATATCTAAAAGTAATTTTTTAAATTTGTTCTCCAATAAAAATTTAAATTTATCACTTATAACAATACTCAAAAAATAAAAACTCTTATAAGCAACACCAAACAAGCCCTAAAATCCTTGTAAGTGTTAATAATTTGTGATTCTTGTTTTACAGTACATCCTGAAGCAGGTTGCAAGATCAGCGCCATGTAAAAAGGGGGGAAGGTGGGCCTAATATTAGGGATCATCTCCTTTGATGGCCTGATCTTATAATTTATTACAAGACGGAGTGTAAGATAATTTTTATTAATAATTTAAGTAATTTAATAATAATTTTTTTTAAAATAAATATTTTCAATTTAAATAATATGATATGTAGATGAAATAAATTTAAAATAAAAAAAATTGCTTTTCATCATATAATCTAAGAAAAAAAAATACTCATAGGCCTGTGACAGATTTCACTGATTCTGGAAAGAGGTGTTTGCATTCCATTTGCAAAGACAGTAGAACACGAGCCTTTAATTTTTTATAATTCAAAAATAATTTTTTCAGCCCGCCCGATACAGAAAAACTTCAAAAACATCAAGAACATCCTCTAGTGTAGTGACCGCATCTTTTTTGTAAAAAATTTTTTATGTTAAATTTAATAAATGTAAAATTTGAATCTTACACTCAATATTAAAAAAAAAAAAAAAACATCAAATGTGGATTATAAAAAATAAAAATACTCTTAATAAAATTGGAGTGTATGAAATTTCATTAATCATTTTTTTTTCATTTTTCAACTCATACTAATATATTTAAGTGGAGTCAGTGTGTCTTGGAAAATCATTCTATTTTTAATTACTCTTTCTAACATGGAAAGTGTGGCAATTAAGTGAAATGATTTTCAGTTTCGTTCAGAAAAAAAAAAAAAAATTAAGTGAAACGAAGTCAATTCATATTTTTCCCTCGACCCTAAAGGGAATGCAAATTAAAATCTACATAATACAGCCACAAAGGACCATTAGTTAGAAGAAGCAAATCATCCACTGCTGCTTCCATATCTATAAAGCACTCAATTTGCTCACCAAATTATCCTAACCCATCCTCTCTTTTTTTCCCTGTAAAGACATGAAATTCAAGATGACAGCATATTTTTTGACCTTCAAAGTCCACATCATTATTCATCAGTAATTCCACTAATTCCCCGTAAAATGATAAATTAGGTGTCAAGTTTCAACTATGGCTACCACTAATCACATGGTGGGATTTGTTATATCAGCACAAATCCTGTTTGAGTCACACTTCCCATGAGATAGGATATGGGGGGACCTCAACAAGATTTGTGTGGATGCAGCAAATCCTGCATGGAGATAACCTTACCTTACCCTTCAAGAACACAGAAGGAAACCTGTATATACCAATTTGCAGATATAACTGACCATTTACTCCTAATCAGCAGCAACCAAAATTCCCAACTAGATAACAAACAAAATCAAAAGGGGATCCATAAGTTCAAAAGTTTAAAAAGAGAGAGGTGAAATAGTTAGAAACTTAAATGTTTTTAAGTGAAAGCACATGAATACAATAATCATGTCCTCAGCCAGGCGTCTAAAGCTGTTCACTTTAGATAAAGAACATGAGGTAAAGAATTCATGTGAAAAAAAGGGGAATAAGGCCAATCACCAAATGTTCCAGACTCAAAGCAATTGCTCCATCCAAACAAACTCTCCTTCATCCACAATCGTCCTTGAACCCTGTTTTCAAATCATGCACAAAACCTTCACAATTGCCACAAAAGTCCCAGAAGAAATGGCTGCACCTCCTGTAGAAATAGGCACCAAAGGTACTGTTGGATCCCTCATAAAGAAAGAAATCGAGTACTTCAACCAGCTTGAATTAAGTAACCAAGATAGCTTGAAGAAGCCCCCTAGTCATAGCAATATCAGAGACACAGCATCCTCTAGTGGTCATTGCAGGCCTACTATTGGGTCCACTGTAGCAACTCAAAGGAAGAAAAAGAAAGGAGGAAGCAAGCTTCTACCGAGCATATGTTCCATGGTGGAAATATCAGAGAACAGGCCAGTTGGGGTTTCAGGATTGGGTTACAGAAACTTGAAGCCTGATGTGAAGAAGTTGCAGGTTTAGATCATGCTCTCAGAAAGCTTAGAGAATCCAATCTTCTTGAGTCGATTTGTGAGAGGACTAGCCCACGCTCTATCGGGATTCCCACATTTGATGTCCACAATTTCAACAATGTTTACTTTCTTGTCAGTTTTCTCTCTACTAGGAGTTCTTTCCAGAGCAATATTATCAGATCCAAGCATTGGAACTCGATTTGTATTTTTCAGATTGCATTTCCTCTTCTGGGCATTTTGAGGGCTTCTACCATTCATGCTGTTGCTGCCACCGCTGGTGCTTGCTTCATCTAGTGACTTCCTCATCTGTAACCTTTTAGGCATGGCACAATTACAGGAAACTGATACAGGAACTGTTTGAGGCTTGTGCCTGCAAGATACTAGTGTTTGTGGAGCTGATTTAATCAAATCCAACTCCCTTGTCATCAGGGAACCAATTGTTCCAGTCGTCCCTATCTTGATGGATCCTCCACCACTCTTGGTAGCTTCCAGTTTCTGAACCATGTTTCTTCTTTACAGTTTCAACTAGAGTCTGAGCTGAGATTGTCTAATACAGCATTGTTAACCTTCAAAATCTGTTGAGAGATGAATTGCAATCTAAGAAGTTGAAGAACAACTAATACAAAATCATGCAAGTAATAAGATTCTTGATTCAAATGCAGCAAAAAGTATTGACATTGGATTCAGTATTGCCCTAAAAGATTCACAGTCAAGCCCAGAAACATGAGATATAAATATATGTTGAAAGAACAAAAGAACAACAAGAGGATCATTCTTTCAAGTATTTAACTCTATGTTTCTTTTACCAACAGAGACCTGAAAAAGACAAATAAAAACCTAAAAGATGCAGTTCCTTCCTTAAAGCATTTAAAACAAAACAGCCTTAGCAACAGTAGATCTTATATCCGAAGATTAGAAATCAAACGAAGACAGATTACTGAAGGAAAGAAATCCTAGGAAAGAGGGAAATTATAAGGAAATACTATAATTATGAGAAACTGTTCTGTTTTCTTTTGTTGTCAATGGAAGATAAAGTTTCTCAAAAAAAGGGAAAGGAAAAGAGAAAATTTGAAGCAAATTTCACCACCTTCAGCCAGATGGAATTACATGATGATAAACTCATCAAAAACTCAGGAAAATTAGTTGAGCAGAAGCAAACTTAGCTGAGTTGAATTTGATGTTGCATCTCAGGAAAATAGATACTTAGGAAGTGCTTAAAGAAGAGAATGGAACAATGGGTACTATTTTTCTGTTTCCTTTTGTTGTCAAATGGAGAAAAAGTTCCTCAAACATGTAATAAATCAAACACTTGATCTTCAAGGTAAATTATCTCTATACGTTTCACCAAATCCTATCACTTCTTTCTCTACAGATCAAAAACCAAAGATCCAAACTTCATCCAGAAGCAGAAAATTAAATCCCAAATCCCAATCAAGCAAGATACATTAACCAAAAATCCCAAGAAATTGATTCCATTCCATTATAATTCAGCCAAAAGAGCCAAAACCAGTCAGATACACCCTAATAAAAATTTATAAAAATAAAATCACAAATTTTGTAAATTTCATTGAGCCAGCCATATGAAACAACCCCAACAACCAGTAGTAATGAACCTCATCAAATCCTACAAGACCCAACAGTGAAAAAGCTATGAAGATCATGAAGACTGAGATTTAGAAGCGTACCCAGGATCAAATCAAAGAGCTAAGAGTGTGTCAAGAAGGAACATTAAATTGGATCTGCCCCAGTGGGAAGTAAGACAAAAAAAACCCAAAAGTTAGAAGCTTTTCAAGGCTTGAAAGCTGAGACCTTTGGATGGAGGATTGTTGATGTATTTTGATGGGTGCGGATAGAATGTCAGTTTCAAAACATATCTAATCTTAAGTTTGGTTTTTTGAGAAAGAATCCTAAGTTTGGTTTTGTAATGAAATCTAGGCTTTTTTGCACCAAAAAAAAGAAAAAAGAAATCTAGGCTTTTAGGACAAAGTGTAATGTGTATGTCTTATTAGCAGCTTGTCAGACCACACCAATCATAGAGCAGTAAAATCTGACTCCTCGTACTCGTCACCCTGTATTGACCAATCATATTTATTTTAAAATATATATTTTATAAAATATATTGTATATTAAAATTAAAATTACAGTTCATTTTGATAAATTTATTTAAATATTATTAATAAAATAATATAAAAATAATTTTATTAAATATATTTAAATAAATTTATAAAATAAAGTATATTTTTAATATATAATTTAATTTAAAAAACTTAAATCTCTTTATTTATTTTATTAGCTAACTCTTTTTTTTGCTTTTTTAAATATGACAAGCCATTTGTCATTTTATACTTTTTCGGTAAGGATCTTAAATTAAATTTATATTTGCACGTGATGT